CTTCTTCTTCTTCTTCTTCTTCTTCTTCTTCTTCTTCTTCTTCTTCTCTTCAGACTTCTTCTTCTTCTTCTTCTTCTTCTTCTTCTTCTTCTTCTTCTTCTTCTTCTTCAGATTGGAGACTTATACTAGTTGGACAGAGATCAGAGTTGGACTTCGGTGGTAAGAGGCTGTGGTACTTACCGGATTAGAGACTTGGASATTGTTGGGGATGATACTCGGCTGCATCACAGATTTGACACCGGTTACATTAGGACTCTGTATCTCCGACATTGGTGACTTATTGTCCGCGACATTTTGATCTTGTTCGTGGACATTTTGGATTACCATATCGGTGACCTACTGGTTTCTATCTCGGTGACATTTGGTGCTACCTACATCTCCCACCTCCTTCGTCTCTCCTGGGCATCGTCTATGCTTGGCCCAGACCCCACCATCTCACGATTGTATGTGTGTGGAGTGATCTCTGTGCGAGTCAGTCTATGTGAGTCAGTCCGTTTATCAGACTTCCGCTGCGTATATGCTCATCCTACATTGGTTGATCTTTGGTTCTGCCCATACTCATTGAAGTATGTAACAGTTTTGGTATCGGAGCAGACCATATAACGGATCTGCTCACAAAGGTAAGTCTGATTAGGAATTAGATTGTTTCTTCAATCTTCCAAATCAGCTCTGTATTACTATCAAGTTCAAAGTTGCAAATTTTTTTTCTTTTTCGGTATTCTATTTATTTCGGCATTTCCGTTGCAATTCGGTATTCGGACTTATAATTCGGATTTCTGTTTATTCCGGTATGCTGTTTATTTAGGTTCCGATTAATTGATACTAATCCGATAATTTGTTAGGTTCGGATTTCTGATTTGAAAACGTTATTAGGGTTGAATCAGTATCCTGTTGAAATTCGGCATTCTGATTTCCATTCAGCATTCCGTTTTTAACTTCGGCATTCTGTTGTAAATCCTACATTTCGTTTTTCTTGTGGTATTTCCGTTTTCCTTCAGTATTGGAAAGTAGGGTTACGAAAATTTTGGTTATTCGATCAACTTGGGAATTCCGAACGTTTTGGAACCGTAATACCGGAAATTCTGCGGGAAACGCGGAAAATTAGGGTTGGGCCCGAAATTTTCGCAATTTTTTTTTTTCCTTTCCCTCGTTGGAGAAATTCCGAAAACGGATTTAGGCCTTTAAAAATCGGATTTTGACGGTGGAAATTCCCAAAAATTCACGTTTTTGAAAATTTGAGTGTTTTTTCTCCGGAATTTTCCGAAAATTTTGTTTGGCAAATCAATCCGAATCTGACCCTCAAGATTGCGACTTCCGGGTAGTTCACTAATTAACAGTGAACTCCCGGACCATCATTGATCTCAAAGGATACCTAATCTTGACACAATTCAAATTCGTTCCTTATCATTATTACAAATATTGTTTATTGATTATCATTAAGAAATCTTTATTGCAAACATTGTTTTATTGATTCTCATTAAGAAATCTTTATTGCAAGATTGTTTTATTGATTCTCATTAAGAAATCTTTATTGCAAACATTGTTTATTGATTATCATTAAGAATTATTCTTTCGTTATGAATCATTAATTAAGTTTATTGATTAAATAATTCGTTATTATTTCTACTTATTACGAATTTTTGAGTTGTTTATGGGAATTTTTTTTTTTTTTTTTTCTGTTTTGATTAGGTGTCTACAGTCCATCAGTGGGGCAGGGGACTGTATGCGTATTGTTTGATTGTTCTACCCTTGTTCCCACTCTCCCTACCCTCCCTGTACTCTGTGACCACCGGGACCTCTCAAGTACCACATCAGTTCACACTGATGTCGATGGGACAGGATACTGGGGCACTGCCACGACGCAGTGCCAGGCTTGCAGTTCGTACCCGCCCTGTGGTACCTCCAAGACCCAAGCAGCGACTCAGCAAGCGGAAGACTCCAGCAGCATCAAGTACAGCAATGACAGTACCAGTTGCCACCGGGGTTCTTCCCACATGCCCGGTCCAAGGGGACGGTGAGCCGTTGGCAACTTACCTTCAGCGAGTACAGGCATTTACAGATGCCGTCGCTACCGCAAAGGCACAGGAGGAGGCAGCAGAGGCGGAACGTCAGCGGCTGGCCAATGAGGCGGCGGCCCAAGCTCAGCAGACTGCTGAGGCTGATGCCGTGGTGCGAGACAAGCGGAACGCCATTTGCATGGAGTCCTTGACTATGAATGAGAGTCAGTGGACGACACTGCTCCAAGGCATGCTGGTTGTGCCTTCGGAAACACAGGCGGATCCGACACCGGCGGAGGAAGAAAGGAGCAACCTGGCTAACCTGATGTTGAATATGATGCGAGCGATCATGTGGAACAACACGATGTTAATGGTGCAAATACACGAGGCCAGACAGCCGCGGCAGATTCAGCAGAATGATTCTGCAGCCTTAACAACTGCTGTTCGCACTGCCGCCACACATCAGCAACAACAGCAACAGCTGTTGAACACCACCACCGCACGCGTCAACAACATCGAGGCTAAGGCCTCAGCAGCACCAGGCTGCACGACGGACGAGACGAAGCAGCTCGACGGGCGCATCGATCATGTCGTCAATCTCATCGGCGACATAGGTGTTTTCAATGGGCCGGACACGATCAGTAGCAGGGTGGCCGCCATCAAGACGGACATCACCAGGCTGCAGACGAGACCGGACGCCGCTACAAAGACTTACAAGATGCCACACTTCGACATCAGCAAGTTCGACGACTACAACAAGTTGGACGCCTTGACATGGTGGCAACGTTTCCTCACGGAAGCATCATGCCGCACTGTCCCGGCGGACGACATGATGAAGGCGCTCTACTTGCAACTGATTGGAGGAGCGCAGGCATGGATGAACCATCTGGTGGCTACCAAGAAATGCACCATCGCCGAACTCCACATGCACATTCCGTGGAAGGAGTTCGAGCAACTGTGGTTCACTCGCTTCATGGTCCGCAACGTCGTGAAGGCGGCCATGAACGAAGTGTACACATGCTCACAAGGGAGTATGCCAACTCGAGACTGGACAACCAAGTGGCAAAGTGGCCACGCCAAGCTTCGATTTGAGCTTTACCAATCAACGATCCGAGTTCTTCTCGCGATCATGCGCAGGACTGCGAACCGCACTCGGCAACGAGTACGATTACGCCTCATTCCAGGCCATCCGGGATCGTGCAAACTTGGTCATCCAAACGGATGACAAGGCCGCAAACGAACGGCAGTCCCAGCCGCATTATGTGGCTAAGCAGGGCTATCAACGACCGGCACATAATAATGCTGTGATTTTTGAAGAAACAGTCGATCTCCACGCTGCAGCAGCATCCTCGAGTGATGGAGGAACTGTAGCAGCGCTCCTGCCGAAGCGTCCCAAGAGAGTTCGGAAGAACAAGGCGACACAAGAGATGGCATTGACGGGAACTGGGCAGCAGCCATGGACGACTTACAAGATAACCAAGGATGTCTATGACCTTCGTCAAAAGTACGGATATTGCCTTTGGTGCAATGGAGTCACTCATTTGACCGCACAATGCCCCGAAAAGGGCAAGGCACGCGTACCCCGTCCAGCAAACTCGGGAAACTGAGTTACGCAAGGAGAGGGGCGACGTCTCTCCTCACTCCGCCGGAACCGGTTGCCTTGCTAGCAATCGATGCCACTACCAGGGAGCATGCGTTAGTCGCTGATTCTCGTGCTACGTACGAGGATTATGCCGCCCAGCTGGTACCACCACTAGACCAGCCAAGCCACGTGCACTTAGATTGCGTATGCGCAGCCTGTACACCGTCGACAAGTGATCCGGTCAGTTCGCCACTACATTTCGAGGATTCGACGGCGTGGTCAAGACTTGAGGAGCTTGACCCGCTTACGCCTCTACCCTCGACCGGAACCTTGCCAAGGCGGCATTGCAACGCCTTAATGGCAAATCTACACTCCTATTTGCACACTACAGTACCAGCTCCGTTGACAGACGACGGAGTAGCGGTTGTCGATCTCCGCTCCTATCTTGCGAAGATTGACCGCGAGTACGCCACCCAAAGGTACGCCGAAACCGATGCTCCTTTGCTCTATATCCGCATTCAAATCGGAAAGGCAACCTGTAGTGCCTTGATTGATTGCGGTGCGTCTCGCATCTTTATGAGCCAAGCCTTTATGGCCCGCGTAGCATTCGAAGGAAGACGCAACCTACGCAAGTTACACTCGCGGACGGCCGCACGCAAAAGTCAATTGACCGATGCGTCGACGGCGTTCCGGTATACTTTGCGCCACTTGCGTGCGAGCCGGTGTCTTTTGACATCCTCGACACCAAGTTCGACATGATTCTAGGCATGTCTTGGTTGCGTAGCGCCGATCACCCGGTGAACTTCCACGACCGAACCGTTCACATCCGTGATCGGAACGGAGTGTTCGCCCCATGTACGGTTGCGACCCCTCACACTTCGATTGCTTGTCACATGGTTTCCGTTGCGAGAATTCGTGACGCCATAGCTCCGAATGACGTCGAGGAGATGGGCCTTGTATTCTTGCATGCTCTTCCCTCGCCGGACGGACCAGCCGCGTGACCGTCGGACCCACGCATTTCTCACCTCTTGGACGAGTATAGAGACGTCTTCGAGGCTCCCA